GGTGGCGCAATTGGTTAGCGCGTACGACTGTTAATCGTGAGGTTGAGAGTTCGATCCTCTCCCTGGACGCATTTGACCTCTTTTTGCTTGATCCAGCGAGCCCACTAGCTTTGCTCTCCTATACTGCTTGTCTGTTGCTCTGTACTACCTGGCAGAATAGAGTCGGGTTGCTCGACTGCTGGTCTGATCGACCTCGACCGGTACTGTTCCTGTGATCTTCGGGTCAAGTGTGTCATATAGACACTGCCCATTTCTAAGTCATCCCTAACGTGTCTGATTGGAGCACATATCTTGTCTTTACCTCATCTGACCTTTCGACATCATCCTTGACATATCTCTGTTGCTTTAGTCGAAGTGAAGGACAAAAGACCCTCAGTTAGGGTTTCGGGAAACCGTCACTTGAGGCCCCTCAGAAAACCACTTGCCAAAGTATCGCCTACTAATGCATCCGAGTTTCCAGTCGTGTTGATTCTTCTCCAATTCCCATTCATTTTATGTAAGAAATAGGTCTATTGCTGCTGTGAGCGGGCTTTTGGTGTACTCTCTTATCGTATGGTTGATGACTATATAAACGGGCTGCAACAGCCTGACCGAAGTACTCGCCGAGCACTGTGCATATTCCCGCAATAAAAACCTACAATATCGGCTCTTTTCCCTCTGACTCGAGACCTTGACCATGGCTTCAAGTTTCATTATGTCTTATGTCATACCATTGCTTCTGAAGTCTAGACTTTTAGCTTCCGCAGTTTTTCCGTGGTTGAACTTGTCGATGATTCTATGTTTGGACACTAAGGATAATATGCTACTTTCCATAATATCACCCCACTGTGTCTGCTTTCCTAGGTATTGTACGCTGGGCCGGGTATATGGTAAAGCGGCAGAAGCGTGCGAAGGCAGGCCCACCCATGGTATTATATACAATACATAAACACAATGCGTCTAGCACCACGAACCCATCTAACAAGCATAGAAGATGATCCGGCGCCCGTCGGTGCACTGTCGGTTTCCCAGTGCGGAGAGAAGGATCGGACGGTATACTATTTTCAAATCAGCACATTCCCCGATAATAACGGACCTTTAAGATACCATTGGTAGTTCAGAGAGTCATCGATTTCCATAGAGGCCGCCTGATTGCCACAGCGGTAGCAGTAGTTCGGAGCCATATCAGAACTCGTCAGCACAAACAATCCATCATGTCGCTCCAACGAGACTATACCAGAGAAAATAGCAACCATATCCCTCCCATGCGACCACAGATACCCATCCACCACCATCGGTTGCGCCCCCGCCGCCAGCGCAAGCCCTTCCGATGATTATACGCCTCCAAGATATTCAGCCCAAAGGTGTACCCAGCCCCGCGGCAAATTCTCCACACGCACATCTCTCATCAAATTCACTCCAAAGAAGGTCACATATGGGGCCCTAATGCGGTGGCCCCTGGAAGCAATCCAGCACACGGATATTATCCAGCGTATCGACCGACGGACTCAGGCCCCCATGAAGACAGAATATGCGATTGTCGATCAGAGTCGCTGGGGGCAGGTGGTCGAACAAATCCGTGAAGAGGTTCAGACCCGCGCGTTGCCGTACTTACGCAGGCATTTTTCGTAGAGCCCGTAGGCCTGGGTGATCTGGCGGGGTTCGTGGTTTCCGCGGAGGATCGTGATGCGTTGGGGGTAGCGAATTTGAGGGCGACCAGGAGGGAGACGGATTCTATGGAGTGGTAGCTGCGGTCGATGTAGTTGACTGCTCATAGGGTGTGGTCTTAGTGAGGATTTTCTCATTTCCATGCGGGGTCTAACATTTCACCCATGAAGAGGTAGTTCGTGTCTGGAAATTGTCCGCTCATTCGGAATAGTTTGATCAGGTCGTGGTATTGGCGGTGGATATCGCCGCCGACGGTCACTGGGCATGTCTGCAGGGATGGTCAGTGGCTGTCATACCCACACTTATATTGGCCATTATGAATAATTGGAACGACTTACGACCGGTCGCACGTTGGCTTCATCCTGTGCTATCTCCCTTGCCCGAAGTGGGACGGCGTCAACGAAATCCAAGGATTCTAAGCTTGATTGTACTTAGAAATGGCCAGACTACACAGACGCTCTACATTATCTAGCGACGATAATCTGCATTCTATCAAGTCTTCAATACATCCATCAACAGTCCTGATGGACTCTTAGTTGACCTCCCCTGATTTAGGCGGTCTCTTAGACTCGGTTTTATCATTGGGTATCATGTTTTTTTTCAATTACCAAAAGTAATACCGCTAGCTCATGTGTATATATACACACATGTAAGTATAAGAAGCATTCAGTGACGTTGGAGGTGGCGACATGCAGTAAGGAATTGCTTCACCTCTAATGAGTTGACAGCAGCTGAACTCCGACACCTGCTCGGAATTCCGAGCCTCAGGTCTGACTTGCCCTTCCAAATAAGCTAGATTGCCATCATTGGGAGTAAAGCCGGTATTAATCTAGGAAGAAATCTATATCCAGCGTTGATTTGAAATTTGATTACCATGGCGTCGGGATAATTGATCTCGATTCCAAAAATAGAATAGGAATAGAAGAAGAAAGTGAACAACTAGAAGACATCTTTTGCATTCACTTTTCATCTTATGTTCGTCCATCTATCTACAAGACTTTCTCGCCTCAGTTGGCTCCCTTTCCAATGCTCGCTGGCCCTTATCAACCTCTCTCCAGACTTGAGCAGTACTCTAATATGGTGCTCATATCATGGTCAATCCAGACGGCGTAGACCTAGACTCTCTGATAGAGAAATTACTTGAGGTTCGAGGCTCCCGACCCGGAAACCTTATCAGGTATCCACGAGATCGCATGAATCTGCCGCACCGCGCGCGACGTCTGCATCTCCCAACCCATTCTACTCGAGCTCGAACCCCCATCAAGGTATAACAACCCTGGCATGCCAACCCCTTCTCCCGTCCTTCCCGCACTAACAGCGCAACCAGATATGCGGCGATATCCATGGCCAGTACTACGACCTCCTCCGCCTCTTCAAATAGGGCGGCTACCCACCCGAAGCCAACTACCTCTTCCAGGGCGACTACGTCGACCGCGACAAGCAGTCGATCGAATGCATCTGCCTGCTCCTCGCGTACAAGATCAAATGCTCGGAGAACTTCTTTATCCTGCGCGGAAACCACGAGTGCGCATCCATCAACCGCATCTACGGCTTCTACGACGATTTGCAAGCGCTGGTACAGCATCAAGGTCTGGAAGACGTTCATCGAGTGCTTCAACTGCCTGCCCATCGCGGCGATCGTCGACGACAAGATCTTCGGCACGCATGGCGGTCTCAGGCCCAATCTGAACTCGATGGAGCAGATTCGTCGCATCATGCGGCCGACGGATGTACACAACCCTCCATATCTCCTTCCTTGGGCTCTGGGCGCTAAATCTAAAAATTTGGATCCCCGACTGCAGTCCACTGTGTGATCTCCTCTGGGCCGATCCAGATAAAGGCATCACGGATTGGAGTGAGATAGATCGTGGTGTCCCGTTTACGTTCGGGCCCGATGTCTTCAGCCGGCTTACTCAGAAGCACGACATCGATATGGTCTGCCGCACGCATCAGTGTGTGGAAGATGGGTATGAGTTCTTCGCCAAGCGGCAGTTGGTGACGCTGGTCGGTGCGCCCAATTATCGCGGGGAGTTTGATAATTCGGGCGCCATGATGAATGTTGATGAGAGCTTGCTTAGTTCGTTCCACGTAAGTTTCTGCCTCTGCATATCTTGTGTTGAGTGCTGAAATGAGAAAGCGGATTGATTTGTCTGAATAGATCATGAAGCCGGCTGAGAAACGAAAGCCGGTCTTCAGGAAGCGGTCGGCTAGTCATTTCAAGCAATATGCTAGTAGGTGATTGACAATACTTTTGTGGCATAACGAGTGCGTCTTGTATAGCTTTCCCTTTTTTTTTTTTTTTTTTTTTTTTTTTTTTTTTGCTCCTGTTCTCTAAGCAGACGAATTGAGCGCAGATGCGCGTTGCAGTAGACAAGGGGATCTGTAAACACGTATTCTGCTCACTGTTTTGTCCGTCATTGCGTAGGGCATGTGTTCTTCAAGATCCTCCATCGGTCCATGCTCTTCTGAAAGGAGGCTCTTACTCAAGCTCACTTATCCAGTCTCCGATAAGAGTAGCCAACACTTCTCCGTCGCCCCGTCTCATAAACGCATTCTGCCACGACAGAAGTTGTCCCAAACCACACTTTCGCTGATGCTGATGCTTCGCAGTCACACCAACCATTAGAATATGGCACCTCAAGTCGAGGAACACATGTATTGAGGCCATAGTCATGAATTTTGATATCTAGTAGGGAGACTTCAGTGCGTATGTGATTGCTGATACGCAGGTGTGATGGTTGGCCTTCCTGTCTTTCTTTCAGGCTCCTAAGGACTGGTCATTATGACTCTATTGGTCTTCATTGTTTCACCCGCGAGAAGCCGAGATTTACATTTTGCTTCTCGGGGGAGGGGGGTTACGCAAGTGATTGCGATGTCCGTTCTCTCACCACGAAGCCGTTAGAACTTACTTCCCTGCAATTGGCCATGAACTAGTTTCTACAACTGAAGAACAACCCGTGACTGGTGTTAGCGTTACTGGTTTGAGCACAGGTCGGGCTAGTTAGGGCTTTGCCGTTCAGGCCCCATATACTCAAACCTTTTCATATGAGCAACGAAGTCACGAGGTAGCATGTGATTAGTGAGACACCTCTTCCTCCCCAACCATACATGTCAAATGCAGTTTCTTCTCACATAGTTGCTATCTTTCCCATCGAATGATTCTATTTCATACGTAGCTGTGCTTCGAAGGTGGCTCGCACGTCGGGTGTGGTGGTATATCTGCAATCTTGCACGGGAAATTCTTCTCCTCTGGTCGAAGATTGCCTAATGGCACGAAAATAACGTACTGACTATCTGGCCACGACCGATTTGTTATTTGGCCTTACATCAAGTGCCCCATGTAAGACAAGGCCATTTTCAATTCTCAGGAGATCCGAAATAGCTTTGTTTCGCGGTTATCTGATCTCCGGGTTATTGTGCATGCCCTGACCTAGCGTTACACTCCCGACGGCAGTATTGCTTCCCTGTCTGATGAGTGGGCAGGTTGGATAAGGGGGAAGCATGGAATGAATATCAGGCGTAACTGGCGGTTGACTGCCATATATTTTGCAAAGCGCTAGCTTTGCAACTCTATGAGGGCCTGAGCAAGAATAACAAACGCTGATTGGCTGACTCTTTATACGAAATTAAACAATCTGATTAGTTCTTTTAAGTGATAGTTATATAACTTCTACTAAATTGCGCTTCGCCGGATAGCCGGAGGGGGAGGTCTGAAAGAAATAACAAGGCCTCCCCCCAGCTGCAGACTTAGGTCGTAGGTCTAAATGAATACATAGAAAGTATTAAAAAATAAGCTTAAGAAGGTCCTTGAAAAGATACTCAAAAAGATGGTTAAAAGGTGGTTAGAGAGGCTCCCAAAGATGCTTGAATAGATGCAAGTACGGGCCCTGCTGAGCCCGCTAAAGGCGCGTCGCAACGTCTTGGCCAAGGGAGGAACCCGCAGGTCAGTCAGGCCCTCGTGTTGATCCAATTGCATGACGCATGCAAACTGGAATGGGGTCCAGGTTCAATGTCCTCAGCACCCTCTTGCGGAATGTCTAACGTACATTGGAGACGTCAAACACCGAATTAATACCCTACTCGTTGATAGGGAAAATACAAAGAGGGGCTCATAGCAAGAGAAATAGATTTCATGGATTTGAGAGGCATTGGTTGGGCGGTAGATGAGATGGGATGCAAACAAACGAAAATCAAAAAGAAAGGCCGTCCAGGGAGAGGATCGAACTCTCAACCTCACGATTAACAGTCGTACGCGCTAACCAATTGCGCCACCCAGACGTGCTTCTTACGGTGCTGTTGCTTTAAGTATTTATATAGCAATGATGCACTAGGCGCCACCTTTTAAACAGCTTCCATGGTTCACCAAACCTAGTCCATATCAGATTACCGGGAAAGATCGAACCACGATCAATGAAGTTCTCGACTACAATATCAACATTCTGCCACATTATGTTGACGTCATTCAATGGACCACAGTGCTTCTCGGGGTAGAATACTCTGCTATTGGGTGGCGGCTTATAATAGGCGAGAAATGAGTGTGTCTCGTTTAATTGGGAATCCTACTTCATTCATTGAGTTCGTCGTAATCGAGTAGCGGCACCAATATAAGGAGCCTTATTCTGATGAGTTAGACGGATCATACGGATGATATCGTTTTGCCGATGAAGTCTTTGTAGGTCTTGAGATTCTGATTCTTAGCTCCCCGATATGTGTTGTCAATCGACGCCATCGTGTGATTTGTTTTCGGAATGCAGAGGATTTGCAGCCTGGATACTCCCCTGTACTGTATCTTTATCAACATGGGAGAAAATGGCCATCTATTGTGCACAAGTTTGAAGATGTGTCGACGGACTAACCCCTTGTGTTCAGCCATATCTACCTCGGCAATGGACTCCCTGTCCGGTCAGCATCGCACAATTAAGCCTATCAGCGTCTATGGAGTATGGTGACATCGAAATACTGATGGCAAGTCCATCCACATATGACATGTTGAAGAGTTCGTTTCGAATAAATACTTGCATTTATCAATGTCAGGATATACAGCTAATCTATATGACCATCATCGTTCGACCCTGTTGCTCGCAGGCGGCAGCTCCACTCCCGACTCCACATGCCGCCGGCCATCCAGCCACTGACCCTGGTCCACAATCCCCATATGATGGCTCTAAAAATACCAAAAAGAGAAGATGACGTCCTAGGAGAGGATCGAACTCTCAACCTCACGATTAACAGTCGTACGCGCTAACCAATTGCGCCACCAAGACGTACTTGTTGTGCTGCCGGCAAAAGGTTTATATGTATATGGCACGGTAAAACAGAACGAAGATTATGTCGGTGACTTCCACATTTGGATACGCAAATTCAGCTCCGATTTGACAGACTACACCAAGGTCTAGTGATTATCTTTGCTTTGATAATATAGAGGTTTGAAGTTTGTAATACCGTGGGCATGTATAGCACACTTTGTCTCAATGTGTGTTCTGGCTAGTCTCATGTGTGGTCGGGAAATATATAGGGGTGACTAGTTATGCGTCTCTTACCAGAATGACATCTAACTGTGCCATATACAACGCAACAACTTTTGACGGAGGTTCGAGAAGATGGAAAAAAAGACCACCCAGAAGCATCGCACATAGGTCTTCCCGGATGCGTCGATGTATCAGCGACTACGGAGCCCGGGTATACAATCAGTCTAGCCATTTCGCCTCCAAAACAGTCCCACAGCTAGTCAGAGACTCATATCAGTTCATTAGTTCGCTGAACCAATATACGCCTACATACCGAGTGCTATGAGCTGCAAGAAGTCGTGCTAATCAAGCTTCTTTCGGGTAGACTGCGGAGTGCTCTGTCAACGTGGTCCGGGTGATCCACTAGGCCCTAACTTGTAACCACACACCATAAGCCATGCGTTGAGATTGACACTGCATTTCCACACGAGACCAAAACACGCCCTATCCAAGACAACGAATTACCAAAAGCATTGTACCTATGGCCATGCGGTATCGAAGCCACTGCGGGGGCCGTGCGCTGCCCGTAGTCTCGAGCTTGTAATGGGCGCTCTGACTTCCCTCTGTCTCCGACCTACACATAAGCCTTGGGCCTTTCAACACCCAACGCCATCTTCTGATTCCAAAGATTGCACCTAAAGTTTTGGAAAAGGCCAATACAACAGGGCCATTCTTGTAAGTCCCAGGAACAAGCCCTACGGGCAGGACAGCAGAGGTCAAGCTTTAGATCTGGCATCAGAGACAGGCCCGAGTCCCACATTACAGTAAGCGTATCCGAACCCTGCCAGACCAAAATAGAACCCAGCGCGCTTATCGAAGTAGACTAGACCGGCAACATGTTTAAGGCTTGAATCTAACAGGTTGGAACAATCAACGATTTACGCTAGACTAGTAGTCCTTGGCAAGTTGGCACAGCCGGCGCTTAATCGATGGACGATTAACTCTACCCCCTCTTCTCCCCACAGTTGCGCCATCGGAAGACTATTATCTTCCCGGTGAGTTATATAGAGTGTGTCTATCATGGAAACTTTTTGTCGTTGCCCAATTTCTGCTATACATGGACACCAGGGTTGGTCGAGCGACAGCAACAAGCAATCACCGCCGCAGCAATCACAACCCCGCTCACTCCAACATAGATAGGTCACCAGGGTGGCCAATCTCGATTAAAACTCCAGTCTCGATCAAGATTCCAGTCTCGATCTAAATCCAGACCAGATCAAGATTTATGCAGCCATGCGCCTATACACGCGCGGTGACACAAGGTTCCATCCCACGCGAAAAGCCCCGAAGCCTCCCAGTACTAAGACGGACGTGGAGTCCCAGAGCAAACAGCTCGAGGCCAAGAGAAGAAGCCTGTGCCAGAAAGTCGATACCACTGGCGTCCTGACACTATTCCTCGGCCCGCCAGTGCTTCTACTCGCAGTCACATTTCTAGTTCTCTTCTGGTGGGAGTCGATGAAGGCAATCAACGGAGGAGACCCCGAGGTCTACTGGTTCCGCATCGTAGATGCAGACTGGGCGACTCGACTGATTACAATATGCACCACTGCCATCCGGACCGTAGTGTCTTTCCAGGCAGGTCTCGCTACCGCAATGGTGGCGGGCGTTGTTCTGGAGACGGAAGGGATCCCCCTCCTCCAGGGACCACTATACTCCATCCTGCGCGCGGTGAAGGCGGCCCCCAGCAGCCTGTTCACGGCGACCGATTTTCGGCCTCATCTCCCACCGTTCATCTTGACCCTCGTCGTCGCCGAGGTGCTGGTGACCGCCGCCTCCCAGTTCCTCTCCACCATCTACCTGTCGGATTTTACCAGCAGCACGTTCACCCAGAGCAATAACTCGACAAATGTCAGTCTCCTTGACACCGAATATAATACGGCCAGCGGCTGGTGGACGATGCGCCCCGCGGCAAGCTGGACATTCGCCGAGCTGTCGGAACCGTTCAAAGAGGGATCCAATTTCCACGACACCGGACACACCTACCGGGCTCTCCTCCCCTTCGAGGGGGAGGAGCAACGGACGAAGCTGCGTAGGTACCAGGGCCCTGCGCCCGTCATGGATCAGCGGGTTATCTGCGCAGCGCCGCCTCTGCTGAACATGCGCCTCGACGCGACCGACCAGGACGAGATACGCATCTCTGGACAGATCCCCATGCAGAACCTGTCCTACCCATTATCGTTAGGCCAGGACTCTTATGGGCCTGCGAACTTCACCTGCAAACTGCCCAGCCCGCTCGTGTGGACGATTGACACGGTGGGACAGAGCAGCATGTGCATCGCCACCCAGCAACGCAACTGGACGGTCTTCTCCACGGAAGACCCCCTCGTCCAGCCAAGTGGGTATGCTACTGCGTCTGTGATGTACCTGGTCCTGGATATCGTGTCTGTGGCCTCGGTCGTTCGCGCCGGCTTGCAGAATGTCGCCGCGCGGGTTGCAGGCAACGACGGGCCCTGGGCGATCGTGACCCATGGGAACGACACGAGGACGCTGCGGGCCTCCGCCTGCTTGACCAACGTGGCTGTCCAGACGATCGTCGTGGGACTGAACAGCTCCTCGGACAACTCGGAGCCGACGATCAGCTGGGACCGGGCCACCAACAGCTACAACACGGAAGCCGCACGACGCCAGCTGGGCGCATCGCGTACCCGCGAGAGCCTGGCCAGTCGGGGGGTGCTCAGCCTCGAGCCCCGGTCCCAATGGGGCACCGTTCTGCCCCTCAACGATTCGGCCTCGGGGGACACGGACCTGCCGGCGTTCTTCCTGGCCGTGGACGTCAGCCTGCCGACCTTGATGATGTCTACCACCAACTACACCTACAGCCCGGGCGTGCTGCTGGCCGAGGACGGCACGGGGTTCTACAGCGGGAGCGCCGAGAACACTCACATCGAGATGTTCCAGGACACGCTCAACACGACGGCGAGCCCTGCCCTGGCCGTGCAGGTCGTGCTGGCCCGGATCTTCCAGATGGCCTACTACGAGCAGCTGGTCAAGATGGCCGGCACCACCACCGTGTCTACCGGCTTCTCCGTCTCCTCTTCCATCCCCTCGCAATGGACCGGCTTCATCATCGGCACCACGCTCATCGCGACCCACGTCGTCATCGTCACGATCATCACCGTGCAGTTCGCGCGACATACAAAAAGTACGATCATCGGGAACTACTGGCAAACAGTCTCCCAGGTCGTCTCCAACGAAACGCGCCCGATCCTGGAACAGGCGGATACGATGGACGATGCAGAGGTCAAGCGCTGGGCGAAGCGCAACCTCCAAAACCTCAAGGCCCACCGCGCCGTGCGAAACCAGCATGATGGGCGGACTACCCTGGACGTTGTGGAGGTGATACGCAAATCTTGACCGATGTATATGTCTGGAAGTGAATTGCAACTTACAGAAAGCGAGTTTTATCATGTATAGATGGCCCTATATTCCATTCCGTCCGTAAAACCAGCAGTCGTAATTCTCAATGCTAGGTCAAATAAACCTATAGGCGATTGACCAGAAGTTAGCTCTGAGCAAGTCATCATGCTTGCTGAAAAGATGCATATTATTTATTAGTGGGTTATAACCACGCTCAAAAAACAAACCACCAGAATTCGTCTGGGTGGCGCAATTGGTTAGCGCGTACGACTGTTAATCGTGAGGTTGAGAGTTCGATCCTCTCCCTGGACGCTCCTTCTTTTTCTATTTTTGCTCTTTTCTCCCGAGCTTCTTAACTTTCTTTCCGGTTTCGTCTTTCCCCGCCTGCTTGGCCTTTGAGTACGAGACCCACATGGCTATACAGTAAGACGAAGTATGTATGTATGTACCCTTCAAGCCAGTACCGCTGTCAACAACCCATACTCAATGGATTCTAACTGCCTCTCCTCTACGGGGTACCGCGGCAGAGGCGAGAGCACCATGGCATGAAATTCAGGAAAACTCTGCTGGGAAGCCAGGGCCGTCCGCCGTCTCGAAAGCTGGCGGATATGCTCCGGCATCTGCCCAGTCCAGCAACCATACCTGCTCATCTGGGTCCAAGGTAAGATTTCGCGGGCTAACATCCTGATGGACAAGGACCAACTCCGTGAATTGGAAGCCAGGGATATCCTGGGGAGCCTTTTTGATCTTCTTGCAGATGTCCAACTTACGGTTGACCCATCGTTCGAATTCGGAGATATCCCCGAATGGACCGGCGCTGTAGTGAGTGAAGAACCGACCACGACAAGGCCCGCCGCCGATTGGCCCCGGTGGCCCCGGTAGTTGGATCCGCTGCATTTCGGTGATCATCGCGGCGTCTTGTTTGGAGACGTCCATCTTCTGTTCATCACCAAGGTCTTCCCAGCAGGTATCCAGAGGTCGACCGTCTATATAATCCATTACAATATATCCCATGGTGCCGAAGTACTTGGTATCGTCCTGGACTTGGAACGAGCGATGGACGCGTGGAGCTCGAATGCCAGTCTTGGAGGCAATCATCCGTAGCGTTGCGGCCTCGGAAGGGAGGACATTCCCACCGCCTTTTAGAGCGAGGGATTTGGAGAGCCGTGCCACAGTTATTTGCCCCAAATCGTGTAGAGCTGGTGCGGTGTAGAGTACTTCAGCCGGAGATTCATCGGAGATGGAATGTAGATCGACATCGTCCAGTGGAAATTTCCCATCTGCAGCGTGGCTCGCTGGCTGTGGGAAAGTTGTTAGTAGGTACAATACCACAGAGATATTGAGAAGCCCCCTATCCTTACATCAACATAGGGGCACAGAATTCCAGCCATTTTGTTCCTGGACTCTTGTTGTGTATACGGGAGTGGCCACTGTGACCACAGTTAGACGAGTGGAAAAGTAGTGCCGGTCAAGCTCTGGGTGGTTAAGGTGGACCCGGCGCTAAAGGTTTGGCATCTATGTAAGTCACATGATAGACAGGCACGCGCTTGCTTCGCGGCCACAGTGAGTTCAAAATCACGAGCTACACACCCTACCCCAATTTAGATAGACAGAATTATACTAAAGGTATTCTATATTCTATCGACTCTCATATGAGGATAGGAGAAGAGTTGAATTTACTGAGCACACTTAAAGATTAGTTCAATCCCAAGACCTATAGTCAGAGCATAAGTCTACGTATATTCATAAAACGGCAGAAAACGCCTAGCAGAAACAGAACAAACCCACGAGGAATGGGAATCCATGGATTTATACATAAATCCTATTCCTACCAGCCCTGCCACGGCCACAAAAGAAAAGTACATCGAAGGAGAGGGAGGGAATATGCGAGAACGCCGCAAAGATGGAGAGGAGGACACGGATATCACAAGAAGGAAGTCTAGTTGGATTAAAACGAGGGAGACAAAAACGTTTAGAACAGGTTCCAGCCACGACTTCTCGGTTCCCGAGCACCCACCGGACGATCCGTGTTGCCGCGCTTGCCGCGGCCGTCGAGCTGCCGGATGCTCTCGATCTTCTGCAGCGCCAGTTCGAGGAGCTCCTTCCGGCGGATGACGTCGAGGTGGCTGCGGATGCGCGGGTCCTCGCGGGCGAAGCGCTCGACCTCCGCGTCGGAGAGGTGGCGGCCGAGGCGCATGTCGAGCTCGCGGGGGAAGTTGTAGTAGAATTCGGAGAGGAGTTCGACGTTGAGGAAGAGCACGGCGGTCGACGTGAGCTTGTCGGCGACGACATCCAGGAAGACCTCCGGGCAGTAGTATTTGTTCTTCTGGGAGGCACATTGCTTGGAGCGGACGGCGAGGAGGCGCATCTTGATAATGTCGGCGCGGTCGCGGAGGAAGACACTTTCACGACCTGATACATTCGTTAGCCTCATTTACGCATAATGTAAGGAAGAGGGGGAGCATACCTCTGGCTAATAGGTCGGCACTAAAGCCGCCAGCACCGCCCGCGCCGTCACCCTCCAACACCACCTCACCCTTTCTGACCTTGTCAACAAACGACATAACATCCTTGAGTTTCCGTCTTCCGACAGAATCTTCCACGTGCTTGAAGGCGGACTCGCATGCCTTTAGCTCGTCCTTGAGAACCTTGCTGACGTTCTCCCGGCCCTTGGACCATTCAGGATCCTCGACCTCGATTTCGTATTTGTAAGGTTTGATGCAGTTCTCGACCTGGTCGCTGGTGCTGAAGAACCGATCATTCAAAATGCTGTTGCAGGCATCCACAATCTGCTTCTGGGCGTATGGGTGGCTCGCAAAGGTCGAGTCGGTCAACAACCGGTCAACATGGTTTTGGATTGCATTGGCGACAACTGTCGTAGCAAGTCTACCGATTCCGAGCTTAGTCAAGGAAGAGGTTGAGGCATCAAGCTTGCGATGCCAGTAGAGAGACTCGGGATCCGCCTTGGGCAAATCGCTAAGAGGATCCAACTCCGGCATTGGCGCCGTGAGATCTTCGATGGGCCTATTCCAGTATCTCTGCGCCAGAATATCCATCACGCGCTGGTCAAGTTCGCGCTTCAGCATCTCGCGGACCTGAGGGCGACCAAAGCTTTCCGCAAACGCCTTAAAGGAGTGCTTGAAGCTGTCCAGGCTCTCGGCCAGGTAGGATTCCGCGCTGAGGGGACGATCGTTGTATTGCACCTTGAACTCGTAAGTGGCTTCCTCCAGCTCTTGACTGATAGCATCCCTAGTACCTGCTAGGCTCGATGCCATCGTCTGCTCAAGGACATGCATAAGCTTGTTGCGCAATGTATTGACCCCGACCGACACGTCCGACTGCGGTCCGAATTCGGACTGGTGCTGAGAGAAGTAGGCATTCTCGTTCTTCAGAATGGCGCCCGTGATGTTGCCGCTGCCCCGGGAGAAGAGAGCCGTCGTCTGAGGGATTCGGCTGACCACGCCAACATAGCCCAGGCGGAGAGGGTATTTCGTGTCGGATAGAATGCTGTGGCCCCTGTCAGGATCCACCAGGTCCATCTTCGTAATGACACCAATTGTCCGCTCGCCCCTGGGATCCACCCGACGGCTGGCTCGGAGAGCAGTGGAGTTGGCGAGATCGACATCTGCCGCCGAGATGGCCAAAATAACGTTCGGTGGCTGAATGTATTTATCACAGAGGTCCGAGATCTTCTGTTTCAGCTGAGGCGGTTGGTCCCGCCCAGCGACCTGGATATAGCCAGGCAGATCGATGAGCGAAAGGTCAGGCACATGCGGCGAGTAGATGGTGAGCTGAATGGGATCGTCCGAAACACAGTCCCTCTCCGGCACCGCCAGATTCAAGTCCGTCAAGGTGCGCTGGATCTGTGAGAAGTCGGTAATCTTGCCAAGTCCCAGCGCGGGGAACTCGCCATACTCCGCCTGCGCGTTCGGGGTGTTGACGAGGGTGAGCTCAATCGGCCGGCGGGTGACCATGTTCGACCCCTTGGGAAGGAACTCATGCCCGACAATCGCCTCCAAAACCGAACTCTTCCCCGATGACTGCGAGCCAATGACAACGATCGAGGGCAGCGTGAGGGTGTTCGACTGGCCGACGCTCTGCAGGATGTTCCGGATCTCGATCATTTTCCGCGTGAGCAGCATCATCTGGTCGTCCTCCGCAATCTGCCGGCCCGCGCGGAGATCCTCCTCGTCCGACTGATCGTACCCCAGCGCACCGGCGGTAGTCGCTCCAGCGGCGGCCGCGCCGACCCGGCTCTCCTTCGCACCTTTTCCATCCCCACCACCCCCTGAGCCCCCATTGTCCGACTGCGCGTCCTCGTTCAACCGCAAAATCTTCTGCAACCACTCCGGCAAGTCAACATCCTCCGTCGTCTTCTGCCACCCGCGCTGCGTCTGCTCCGCCATGTTCTGAATCTCCTGGAATAGACTCGAGGCCGCACCGCCCGCCGTTTCGCCCGCCCGTTTGAAGATATCGATAGCATAGCTTCCCGCCTCTAAAGCAAACCCACAGCACGTCAGTCAGCCACCAACAAGTAACCAGGGTAGAAAAGAACTCACGCGCAGCTTGATACTGAATGTAAGCAGCGCCCGCCAGCACGGCTCCGCCAAACATAGCCGGCAGACGGACGAGCTTCAGGGCCAGCTTGGGGAGGATGCGGTGGAAGGAGATGGCCCGCACAGCAGGCACATTGTGAATGGCGTTGGCACCGACAGGCCAGGGCCGTCGCCGTAAGGCCGCGCTGCCATCGGAACGCAGGAGGCCGCCGGTGCGGGCAGCAGCGTTGTGTACATGGCGGGCCAGATGACCCGTCCGCAGGAGCGGAACCAGACGGTGGGAGAGGATCCTCCCGCTCATGATGGCCGAAATATCATATACGCTTTGGATTGGTCGGACACGAGTTTCAGTAGATGTGGTTCATATCCCGGAGGGGTGTGGTAGCAACGGGATTGTTGAGGTTTATCGAGTGGGATAGTGGCGAGAGTGTGCAACAGACACAAAAAAGATGAGAGAGAAACAGCTAGAAGGGGAAGAAAGACAAGCTCTGGGAAGGGAAGGAGGAGATCATGTCATCCAGCAATGTGATTGTCCCGCGGCGGCGAATCCCCTCCGAGCCAATCCTGATCCCGTGACCTGCACTGCACTGCTGGCCGCTTCGCCCGCCATATAAAATACGGTGTGAGTCACGTGCAGTTACGCAAGCATTCCACTCGACAATAACCAAATAATCGGATCGAAATTCGTCATCTGGACGGGTTGTCGGTCTAGATTTGAAGTAACCTTAAGCCGGACGAGTCTGAGCTTTTTCTTTCTTGTCGCAAACAAATACAAATAAAGGGGCGATTCCCAGTTGTGCGGGCGTGCCTTGGGCTGGAAGAAACACCTCCGTTGTCGGATCAATCAAAGCTGTGACTTGTGACTCTGCACGCTGTCTGTCGGGCCCAGACCGACTTTACATACAACCTTCCACCTCCCAACGCTAACATCAATTTGGGATCTTGCACGGCAGTAAGGACGCTGGGAGTCTTTACTTTATTGTGAACTGCACGTTGATACAATCACAAAATGTGTCGCTTTCTAGTAAGTCTAAGTTTAGAGCTGTTTGCCTCCTATGTCTGTCGCAGCATTGCTGACCGCTTCCCCATCAGGTATACAAAGGACGACATGAGATTCGTCTCAGCAAGCTGGTCACCGAACCCAGTCACTCCATCCTGACCCAGTCGTACGATTCGCGTCTCAGACTGGTACGTCTGCTTGCTTTCCGTTGTTCAAGCAAAGAAAGCTCATCAAGCAAGAGGGCTCCCTCACTCCTGCCTGCCCCCTCCCCTCTGCCCCCTCCATTCCCACCCCCCTCCTCCCCCTCCTCCCCTCCAAACACTACCCCCATCTAACCAGGAACCAGGACACCCGCCGCCCGGTGAACGGCGACGGCTTCGGAGTGGGGTTCTACACGGACCCGAAACTCGGGCCGGACCCGTGCATCTTCACCTCGACGCTGCCCGCCTGGAACTGCGAGAACCTGGAGCGGCTGGCGTCGAAGACCTGCTCGAACCTCATCTTCGCGCACGTGCGGGCCACGACGGAGGGGACGCTCTCCGACACGAACTGCCACCCGTTCCAGCACCGGACGCTGATGTGGATGCACAACGGCAACGTGGGCGGGTGGCAGTACATCAAGCGGGCGCTGGCCGACTCGCTGGCCGACAAGTGGTACCTGGGGGTGAAGGGTGGGACGGACAGCGAGTGGGCGTTCGCGCTGTTTCTCGACCTTCTGGCCAAGGAGGGCGTCGACCCCAGCGCCGACCCGGGCCCGGAGGGGTTCGGCCCCGCGCTGCTGCGCCGCGTGATGGTCAAGACGATCGCGCAGATCAACGCCTTCATCAAGGATATCCCGCGGCGGCATGGCGGCGCCGTCGGGGCGGTGGAGACGCGCAGTCTGCTGAACTTCGCCGTCACCGATGGCCACACCGTCATCTGTACGCGGTACATCAGCAGTAAGACGGATGAGCCGGCCAGTCTGTATTTCTCGTCCGGCACCAAGTGGACCGAGGGGAAGGGCCAGGGCCATTTTAAGATGGAGCGCCATGATAAGGGCGCCGATATTGTGCTCGTCGCCAGTGAGCCGATTACTTTTGAGAGGCGTATGTTTTTTTTTTTTGTTTTTTTTTGGCCATCCGGAGGATGAGATGAGGATGGGTGGTTGGGCGAATACTGATCTGCAATGCTGACGTCCGTCTAGATAACTGGGTCTCCGTGCCCGCCAACTCCATCGTTACCATCCACAAGCAGACCGTCATGCTGCACCCCATCATGGACGAGTTCTACGTCGAGGACTCCAACCAGGATCGCTCCTCCTGCTTTGCCGTCTCCAAGGGCCTGGTGAGCACCGCGCCGGGCACCACTGTGCAACCACAGAACGACGTCAAGGCGCCGGCCTTCGATATGACGCCTGCGAATCAGTGCGCCGTGTCGCATTGAAGCGGCAGAGTTTGGGTTTTGCGGGTAGACTTCCGACTTTTACCGAGGAGGGTGAGCCGAGGGTTAGGACGTGTGAGAGGGCGGGAGTCATTTTTGGGGTGTCGGAGTTGGTGAATTGGTATTTCTATGGGGCTTGATTTTTTTTTCGGGGATCCTAATCAATCAGATTAGATAAATTGTAGACCCATCTTATATATCTGCAATGATGACACTGTCTATTGATGAGGCTACAGTTTCGTTCAAAACTGTTGTGATATAATAAAGTGGCTATGCTGGGACGGGACCATCGACAATTAAACTATGTACATACAGTACATGCCCAAAAAAGCGGCTCACGTATGAACCAAAGACTACCGAAGACCCACGAAGATACCGGATCGCAAGAAATACCATCAAATGTCCTCCCCAGAGATGTTCGCATGCTTGAAGTACTTCATCCCCACCCAAGCGACCACCACCCACACCCACGACATGACCGCGGTCAAGATGATCAACGCCGGATAATACCCGACGATCGGCAGGGTGGGATCATCCTCCAGCTCCGGGGGCGCGTACGGCGTCTCCCCGACATCCCACGCCCAGCTCCAGACCCCGAAGCAGCTCCCCATCCCCACGACGAACACCAGCCACGTCACGATCAGGATAATCCACCCCCACCACTCCGTCTCCGAGTAGTCCCACACCATCTGCGAGCTGGCAGCCATATCCACCGCGTGCGTGGCCAGCGGCGACTTGGCCCGGTGCAGAGCTCGGTACGTCGGATCCGTCTGCAGAGTGTAGTAGGAATCGGAGGCCGACGAGGCGGAGGGCAGGCGCAGGCCCGTCGCGCCGCCGGTGGTGGAGGACGAATGCAAGGCGGTACTGGTACTGCTGGCCCGCGGGAAGGAGATGATCTCTTCGTCGTCCGTCGTCATCATCTCATCGCCGATTCCAAGGAGACTGTTTTTCGCTGGGCTGGACTGGCGATGCGTCGTTGTCGTCGTCGCCGCCGCCGCCGGCGCGGCCGCCCGGGCGCGTTGCGGTGCATCCATCAGCATCCATGCGGTATCCGTCTCATCCCCGGGTTGGGAGCCAAGGTTCCTGAGCGGGGTGTTTTCATCGTCTGCGCGCGACACGGGTTCGGCTAGATATCGCATTCGTGGGTTGGTGGAAGAGGATGAGGAAGGGGAGGAGGGTAAGGGGGTCGGTCCCGGTCGGGGTTCGCCGCTCCCACTGCTGTCCCCTCGCAGTACATCGGCCGGCACCCTTGCGGTCTTCTTGTCTCGATAGTCGAGCCGGGTGCCCAAGAGGGCCGTCTTGCGTAGCGAGCCGCGTCTCCGACGCGTCCTCCGATGTTGCTGGATCGCATTGGACATGGCCCGCCCGCCCCGTAAGCCGGAGGTGAGTTCGTCGCCGTCATCACGCTCGAGGCCTGAATGGCTTCGCTCGGCCGTGTTCTGTGTCGCCTGGATCATTCGTAGGAAGGACAATCGGGACAGTAAGGAGCCTGAAGTGCTGCGCTTATGGCCGCTGCTTGCGCTTCCTGAGCGCATGCGCCCGGCGCGCCGGTCATTGTCGTCCAGCGAGAGTGCCGCACCGCTGCTATTGCCTGCTGCATCTTCCATTGGCGCAGGCTAGGCGCGACTAACCAATCTTTAGCATGCCCACATCCAGTGTCCCGGTAGAAGAGTCGGCGAGGATTTTCATCAGCTGTGGTGCAAGCGTTGGCAGGGTACGAAAGGAAGGAGAAAGAGGAAATAGAAGACGAAGAGACTGAGGAAGAGGGGGCCGCAAGGCATCGATCGATCGGCCAAGAAGAAAAGGGTCCAGGCAGGCGGTGGGCGGATGAGGTCCGGTACGGTACGGTACCTTCAAGGTTAGCAGCTGCCGCCCCAGTCGGCCTTCTTCCTTCCCGCAGCCCGCCTGGTTTGTTCTATTTTACTAGGTAGCATCAACATCTTATAGTTTACAGACTACTAAGTTACCTACTATAACTAATGCTTCAGCAACTCATGGTAAACACGAAGCCCTGATAAATATAGGCAGAGGCTTGCCTGTCCACAAGACGCTCGGAATGCACTCTAAAATCACCATACAATGCAGACATCTACAATGGCATAAACTACGGGCAAACCCAACCATCACTCCAGCAAGATCAGGAATAAGAAACAAATCCCAGCAACATCAGCATGAAAACTGGAAAATCATGTGGGCACGGTCTCAGGACACCAAGAGCCCGAAGTTGGAATTAGGACTGGAAGAAAGTCACCTGAACAGACAATGGTATCACAAACTGGGAAGACTGTGCCAACCAAACCGGCCAGACGAGTACAAACCGGCAAACAGAAAGAAGAAACCCGGTGTTAATTGAATCAACAACGATGCTCAAACAGCGAGTCTCAGAATCGCAGGGAAAGCCCTAGCTTCCCGTGGACAAATAAAAGAAGAAAGCAGAAAGCCATGATTCACACAGCCTGAAAGCAAAGGACGTCGATCCTCAACAGGCTGTGCTTATACATACTAATCGTACGACACCAGCGAGCTATTTATTCAATAATCGACCAAAGAGAAAATGTCAGGAATAGAATGAGAATGGTCAGTACTTTTAGTTTAGTCCGCAGAACGCTTAAGTGAGAAGCCCAAGAAGCTTAGCCTTTGATCAAAGTTGCGCGCATTCGTTCAAAGAAGACAGCATATGGAAACTTGAGTCAACAAAGCGGATTTGGGGTATTGGGTGTACGATAACACACAAATTTCATTTCAAAAAGAAGAATGGAGAATGGGAGATGCGCTTTAAAAATCCACCTTGTAAGGGGCAGCCATGAAGAAAAGAAAGAAAAGAAGATAAGAGAGAAAAAGAAAAGCAGTGTTGAAAATGATGGAAAGACAGAGACAGTTGAAATGTAAAGTATTAGGGAGAAAGGAAGAAGGAGAGGAAGGGGCTGATGCTTAACGCTTTTGCCGGTACAGACCGCCGACTACCAGTGCTTGCGGCAGCATATATCGAGAACAGGCTACGCTTGATAGCCACCGAAGCCATTGCCGAAATTGGCATTGTTTGGCTGGTTCCATCCAGAGGCTGGGGCGCCTTGGCCGCGGCCGTATCCTGCGTTGCCAGGAACTTGGCCGTAGCCTTGACCACCCATTCCGGATTGGTCCCATCCTCTACCGGCTGGGTTGGGGCCTGGAGCCAGAGAGTTAGCGGGAAACCCCACACTAGGGCGCAAACGAGCTACCTTGAGGGGTCATGGGTCCCCCAGGACCGCCGTACTGAGGAAAGTACGGAGTGGGACTAGAGTTGAAAGGTGAGCTGGCCTGCTGGCCAGAGAAGTTGTCGAACTGGCCAGTAGGAGGACGATCCTTGCCCCACTATATGGTCAATTAGCATCGGGACTAAGACACGGGGAGTGAGGAGGACATACGCTGCACTTCAGAGGGCGTCCATTGACGTTGTAACCATTGAGCTGACAGATGGCCATGGCCGCATTCTCATGCGAGTCCATCTTGATGAAGGCAAATCCACGGTCCGCCTGCAGACGAGTCTCGAGCACGTAGCCAAAGTTCTGGAAGAGTGGCACCAGGTCGTTCTGCGTGGTGTAAGGGGTCAAGTTGCCCACGTAGCACGTGGTCTGCCACTGCGGGGTTTGTGAGACGACCATGTCGTAGCTCTGGATGCCGTGGGTAGGGAAGTTGTGATGGCCATACTGCGTAGCGGGTGTCATGCCCATTGCGGCCATGGCTTGTTGCTGAGAGATCGAAGGTTGGCCCTTCTGGTTGGCCCAATTACAACGGATTGCACGCGAGCCCAGCCATTCCCCATCCATGGAGTTCAAAGCCTTGTCGGCATCAGAACGGTCACGGAATGCAACAAAACCATATCCTCGGGAGCGACCAGTTTTCATATCCCACATGACACGAGCCTCAGACACGGAGCCGAAGGCAGAGAAGGCTTGCATCAACACCTCGTCGTTTACTTCATTACTCAGATCACCAACGAAGATGTGGAAATGGCCCGAGGTGTCCTCCTTGTTCGTATTGTTGGATTGGTAGGCCCAGTTGACACGAATTTCCTGTAGAAGAGAGACAAGAAATTCAGTACCTGTCGAACAAACACCAAATAAACCCAAATGTACATACCGACTGATGGATACGGCGCCCATTGAGCGTCTGCATCGCTCTCTCAGCAGCACCGGGGTCATCAAACTCGACAAAGCCGTAGTTGTAACCTTTGCTGTTGAACTTCTGTGACTGTCAGTGGGGAGGATGAGCGTGCTTCAATAAAATAGTGGGGCATTAAGAATGCCAGAGGCCAGTGAGGAGGTAAAAAAAACCTACGTTCTTGTCGGGGATGATCTTGACGCTAACAACATGACCGGTAGTCTCAAAGATTTGTTTCAGGATATCCTCAGTCACTCGGGGATCGAGGCCACCGACATAAAGGGCCCTCTTGTTTGGCTCAGGGGCCGCCCGACGCACGAAGCCACCAGCGCTGGTCGGGGACATCATATTGCCGGACATGGGCGATGTGATGGCGGTCGGAATCGGATTGGTGTTTTGTGGGATCACCACGGGCGGGCGGGGAGGTGGTGGCATGTGGGAAGGATTGGCTTGGCCGTTGCCCTGGGATGCATCGTACTGCTGGTTGGAGGCAACCGTAGAAGATTGGGGAGGAGGGGGGAGGGTGGTAGCGGTCGCAGCGGAGACGTTGTCGGCCATTGTTGACGGGGGTGAGGGAGGGGGAGAGTCACGAGATGGGACGATAGAGGATCACGGAACAAACAAATGCAGAGCTGCAAGGCGGAACAGTCGATGGAGAAAAGCGTTTGACGGAATCACGGAGAATGGATATGCAATTTCTCGGTGACGGGACGATGCAGGGCGTTACGCAGTCAGAATTAAAGTAGGCGAAGGCGGCAGCAGACGCGGGGGGGGTTTTGAGGGTGGTTGTTGGTGAGTGTTGATCGAAAAGGTCCAGGACAGAGTGGTGGTAAACGAGGACGGACAAGGCGCTAAACTAGATCATCCAAAGACAAGCACAAAGTACGAGCAACTGATGTTGAATCGGACGATTGCAGTGCTAGTGAAATGAAGATGAGAGGTGTCGTGATGGACTAGACGGTGCTGAAAAGCAAATAAATGAGACCGGAGATGGTTTTCTCAACCACGACCCCGACCAGTCAGTGAATCCGTCAAAAGTGGTGGTGGAAACAGCTTTAAGCTCCCGAATGACAGCTGACGGAGAATGAGGAATGGAAAGGAGGAGGAGGAGGGAAAAGCTGACAGCTGGAAGAAGGCAGAAATAAAATAGGAAAAAAAAGGGAAAAGAAAAGAAACACTGAGACAAAAGGGAAGAGAGGCAGCAATGACAGGTGGAACAGAGAAGAAAGTGGATGATACAGAGGAAGAAGGAAAATAGAGGAAGAGAGGGAGAAGAGAGACAGAAGGCGAATAAAACAGACAGGGGAAAAGCAGAGGGAAAGCTGCGATGGATGGATCTGAGCTGACGGGGAAGTTTGGATGGAGAACAAAACGAGGAGAGTGTTTGGATGATTGAATGGTCCACGGTGGATGGGATGGGGTTCAATTGGCAGCTCAGTGGTCCAGTTGGTGGTCTGTCCTGGGAGTCGACCACGGTACGGAATACAGGACGTACAGTCAGTCAGTCAGTCAGTAACGAAGTACCTTAAGGTAACCCGAAGTCAACTGGCTTGAGTCTGGCTGTATTGAAGGTACCTACTCCGTAGTAAGGTAAGTAAAGTAGAGCCGCTCCGAACTGGGGTGAGGGGCGCGCTAAGCCTCACCGCGTTAGTCCCCTTGTGACGGGGCTCTCGCCTTTTTTTGTCCTTCACTTACCGCAAGCCGGCTAACTAACCTCTTCAAAGCTACCACCTCTTAACTTACTACCTAGTAGGCGCTTAACTTGCCCATCATCATTCTTAGCTTCTTCCTCCACTCCTCAGTTCCCTTCTATCTTACCTACCTGGAGATACCAAATTATCTGTCACCTGCAGTTACCCCTCTGGATTTTCTTGGTTTCTATTCTTAGTCTCCTCCCTTGACTCCTCCTCCCTCCCCCTCCCCTGTCACTTCCACGCGAACCTCGGTCCACCTCATTCAATTGGCTCTCGGGCCCGCCGTACAGGGAGTATAATCCCTCACGGCATCGCTAAAAGTCCCCGGCTGAATCACATCTCGTAGTGGTTTCAGATCGTGTTCTATCGTGGCCCATCACACATCCCCAACTGACCCCGGCACATCAGCAAATCAGCGCGGTCTATTGCCAGCAGCTTTCTTGTTAGTACGATCAGGTCGCAACACCAGCGTAACCATGGCCGCGACAGATTTCTCAAATCCCAAATCCCTGGATGTGTTAACATCCACGGTGAACCAGACGGTAGTACATCCGAGTCCGTTTGTTTCTCGTTCAAGTGACCTCTGACAACCCATAGCTCATTGACACGGCCCGGTTCTTCAACTCGCACGAGAAGATGCAGTACAGGGCACAGCTCAAACGCTCAATCCCCGTCGCTCACGAGCAGTTCCAGACCGCTTTGGACAGCCTCTCGGAGCAGATTGTAAGAACCATTGTCACCTTGTTCGGTGCCTGAGTTGGGACTGACTCTGAGCAGTTTATTGCCAAGGCGTTCTTGGAGCGAGACTATGAGGCAATCAAAGCGCGAAAAGCTGCACTTCATTCTGCCCAGGACTCCGCGATGGAGGATGCGGTCGTGAAGCCAGAGCCAGAAACGGCCCCCCAGCCTCAGGAAACCCCAGTCGTAGCCACGAATGCAGACACAATAAAGGCCGAGCCCACGGAAGTCGAACCTGTGTTGAAGCCGCAGATTGAGCAGGATGTCGTAAAACAAGGCTCGGCTGATCAACCTGTCAAGGAAGACCAAACCGACAACGGAGCTACCGCCCCTACCGTCTCCGGACAACCTTTCACCGGCCCGGACGAACTCAACTTCGACTCAATGCTCAACAATAATCCCGGGCCCAACGATTTCGACCTGAACCTTGACTTTGGCGATGACGCAGTTGGTAATGATGATTTTCTCGCCGGCTCCCACCTGGTTCCTGCCGGTTCGGGCAATGAAGGCAACGCTACGTCTGGCAACACCGCTGCTGGCCTAGTGGGCACTGATAGCATGAATACTGCTGTGCCTACGGGTGGAGATGCGTTTGACTTGGAATTGCAGAAAGCTGAGGCGTTCTCCACCCAAGTTGGCAGTCTGACGGGACAACAGTTGGACGGTCAAGGAGGGGGAAACCTCGAAGATGTTATGGCACCGGGAGAGTCCAGCTTCGATGATTTATTCATGGAGAATGATACCTTCGGAGGGGATGGGACCGGGGACCCGAATTTATTGGAAGGCGACGGATTGGTGGATATCAACGAACTTGATGATAGCTGGTTTACATGATCATCTCCTGGGCAGTGGCCGTACGGCTCGGGATGCGATTTATGGGTGACGACACTGTGCGTTGGAATCACGAAATACAGGCAGTTCTATATAGCAGCGTCCCCTACAAATTCGGGTAATAAGCTAAGCCAAACGGAGTCGGTTTTCCAGTCGCAGACTCTTACTCATTACCCCGGCTGAAACCCCATCGAAGTGTCAGGTCCATTGCTGTCTCCTGCCGAACAACCAATCGGCAAGGCAGAGTGATCCACCCTGTAAGGGGGCCCGGTACCTACCTGACGGTCTTCACTACTGACTCCGCGATGACGCAAGGTACGTCAGAGGTGGGCGCAAAAGCTAATCTCCGTTCCAATTTGACATCCCGATGCTCCACGCCCAAGGTGGATTGGCTCTGCTGCGTTTTCGGTGGTCTTGGTATGCAGCTAATTAATGCTTGGTTCCTAAATAGACTATGGGGGAATGCCACGAACTGGTTCTCCGTTCGGCAATCACTTCAATGGTTCGGGCGTTCCCCAAAGCAGAAACTCTGACAAGAGATACCGAAACCCTTTGCTAGCTGTAGTCTCCGCAAGAATGTATCAAGTGCCGTACCTGGCTATTCGCGCCCACAGGGACGATTGAAGTCAATATCAGTCACCTCAGGGTTACAGGGTGATGATGATGGTGATGGCGGCGATGATGTCATGACCTATCGGCCTATAGGAATTGTGCTTGCCCTGGACAGCACATCTTGAACCACGCGACGGTTGATAAGAATTGCACCTTGTCATGTTGATGTTCTTTTACGAAAGTAGGTGGATAGGGTCTGCCGGGTCGATGGCGATAGCATAATGTAAGGTTATACGCGCATATCAAGCCACAGACGACAGACTTCGTGCCGTCATTTCTACCGTGATTGACATGTGTGAACTTGTGGGGATAAATTTCTTGCCGTCTCGAGAGCCGACCATCCGATTAAAGATGCAGGGATATAGTGCTGAGAATACACAATTTACCGGTAATCACGGATCGGTAGATTCGGCTTGGACAGAGGGATAGAGGGGAAATGGTGGTGGCGACGGCACTGTTGTTCAGCTATCGCGAAAGTCGGAGAGCGGAAGTATTGCCGGGGATCAGACCATGGATCTTCGAATAGACTTCTTCATCAACTCCTCAGTCGGAAGCGATCTTCGGTAACGGCCAAAAACAACCCGACGGAATGGAATCTTCCCACCCATGTGTCCCATTCCACTTGTACGAGCGCCCATTGCATTGCGGTGGAGGATGATGAGGAGCAACAGAGAGCCTAGTGAGGGGGGAAGGAGGAGGCCAGGGCAGGTGGAAAGGCAAGAAGTGCACGTACTCTCCGTCGTAGTGAGGGAGGGATCTTCTCCCCACTTCCGCCCGACCCGATGATATCACCACACCGCCCTGCTCCTGCCAGCCAAGGATCCCCCCGCATTGACAATCAGACACATTGTCTTCTGCTTGTCTCTTTCTTCTTTCTTCGCTCTCAAGCCCTTTCAGGCAGTCAGGCAGCATCTTTTTTCAAAGATCCTCAGCCGCTCATCAAATCATAAAAGTATATGGTATGGACATGTGGATCTACCTGTCCACTATGGAGCAGCACAACAGCGATTGGCTTTCTTTCTGATGATGAAGTCAAAGAGCGAGCATTAAGTGGTCATCTTATGATGACCGTGCTGGCCGGGTGGAAGGCTGTGCCGGACTACCCGTCGAGTCTACGAGTCTACTGCTGGGCTAGACTAGACTTCCAGGTAAGCTGGGCATCAGATTGACTCCAGTAGTCTAGTTATTTAGTTAGTCAGTCACTCAGTCAGTCCGTTCCTTAGTTAAGTTATGAGTAACTAGACTAGCTATTAGTGTCAGTGTCTCTAGACACTGAACCAGATGGGCGTCAGACGTCACTGCCTCTTCATGCATGTGGTTCGAGACCCTCACCCACTAGTACGTTGTAGGAGTCTCATGCGTGATGAAACCCCCGAAACTCGGCTTTCCCCTCTCTTCCCATTCACATGAAGCATCCCATCAGTCAGTCTGCCATCTTACCACGTAACCCGACGGAGCGTATTTGTTGTCCAAAAGGTAGAGTGTAAGATACGAGGTCGATCCGGGGAAACGAGGAGGTACAGTGCACCACAGTACTACAGCCTCCCGCATCAGCTGATTGATACATAGTACTAATTCTCTGGCCGTGGGGATGTCGGAAGTGCATGAAGAACAGTGAATTCATGGTTCAATCTGATGTATCCGTTGGAGACCTACTAAACAAGACGTAAAGAGAGAGAGAGAGAGAGAAAAAAAAGCCTCCCAACCAGTTCAGGCAAGTCTCAGGTCTAGTAATGCGGATCACCGGATAGGACTTGAGCCTACCAGCTTTTTTCTCCTCCGCGTCATCGTTCTTCTGGACGTACCGTCTGTCTCTGTCTACCTGGTCAAATTTATTTAATAAGGATCTTGTGCCCAAGGAACGCTACCCGCACCGCCTCATTCTGGACTTGTCGTATTTTGTCATTGATCCTTTTGCTGACTGAACGACAACGACGACGAGGCGATATTATAGTATTCCACTATTGCACTATCGCACTATTTCTGATCACTGCCCTCTCGATCCCCCATCGCACCCCCGCATTATTATCATTCTCGGCGCTTCTGGCCTTGTCCTGAGTCCTGACTGTCTTCACTTGCTGAAAGCGGTTGACCTTTTTCTTCTTCTTGGGGACTTCCTTTATTTTTCGCGCACCCTCTCCACGTTCCACCTCCCCAAGATTTCGTATCCGTGCTATCGAATCTCCGATCCATTCACTAATATTGATTGCGGCTGCGGTGTGCGTGTACCAACCACGATTTGCAAAGAGACACATCGCTCCTTGCCGGCGTGTCGATCATCGCCCGAACCTAGAAAAGATCCCAAACAACCACCAACCCCGAAAGGAGACAACGCCCCAAACGAATTGATTATTATTCTTTTTCGACGAGTGCGAGGCAGAAAAAAAAGCCAAAAAAAGACCCCAATATCCACTGGTCGCACGACTACGTGCATTGGCTCTGTGCGTCAAACACTGGCTCTGCGACTAATTCTAATTTTCCCTATCCTATAATCTTCACTACTGTTGCTGGGATCTGACTAGTATATTACCTTTTTTATCCCTCTCTTTTTAAAGAGTAAGTCCTTTTTCTTTTTTGTCCAGAGTCAAAACGTGCTCACTTCTTTCTTTTTTCAACCTTTTTGCCTCCTGCTACATTCTTCTTCAGTCTCTTCCAATTTTTACTTCACTGTGCATCCTGTTCTTCCTCTTGTTCCTCCTCTCCTTCCATCCCTCTCTCCATACTTCCCTTCCGTCTTCCGCCACTACCCGTTTGGAAGAGACACAGTTCCTCCGCCTCCTCTACACTACACATACTGAGAAGGATCTTGGCTCTGCCCATCACCTCAAACCTGCTTGCTCCTTACACAACCACAAAGAATGCAGCCTGTTGATTGGCATTGTTCTTGTGCACAACAATGACGGCTCACGTTTCTCCTCTCCCACAGGTTCTTCTGGGGTCGGTTACTAGTCCCGGTGGTACAAATACTCAATTCCCCGACGGAGTGTCCGAGTCAACTCCGTTTCACGTGAGATCCGATCGGCGGCCTTCACTCGAGACATCGACACTTGCTAGCGATACTAGTTCCACTGTCGGGCAACCATCGGCCAGACGAGGCTTCCGTCGTCGCGCCTCGATCCTCAAGAAGTTGGCGGGTCCGCGGGAAAACGCAAAGCGTCTGTTCCGCTTGGGGTCCCTGATCCACTCTGCGCCCTCCATTACGCCACCATCCGCTTCCTCCCCTCCTCTACCTTCTCCTCCTTCTCCTCCTTCCCCTCCTCCTCCAATGACTCAAACACATTCCCATCGCCCCGTGTCTGAGCTCGTTTTGAACCCCAACGATGCCACAATGCTCACCACCTCGGGACTAAGAGTTGGCCGATTGCGCTCGCATTCTTCCTCCACTGTCTCTTCCAGCCAACCTTATCCGGCTTCCGCTCATTCCATCCCGTCTTCCGATCCGGCCGTGCCGTTCCCTCCTCTGCGCAACGAGAAGATAGTCGCCACAGGAAGTGGGATCTCGGTGGGAATCGCACTCACTGAGCCAGTGCTATATCTGCAAGGATATGATCAGAATGACCCCAGTACTAAGAAGTCGGCCATTCTTCGCGGACAGTTGCATCTAAAAATCACCAAAAGCGTGAAAGTGAAGAAGATTTCGATCTGTTTCCGTGGGCATGCGCAGACTGATTGGCCAGACGGTAACTCTTCTCCCTCCTTCATCGATCATTCTTACGCGGATCGACTGACAAATTGTTTCGTTGACAGGTATCCCGCCCAAGAAAGTTCACTTTCACGATAAAAAGGATCTCGTCACACATGGAGTAATGTACTTCAACCATGGCGATACGGCACTGATGCAGAATGATTACGGTGCGCATTTCTATCAGCACGCTAAGCCGGTAACCTCTGTGACGGGCAAGGAGGGTCCGACCCTGATCACCCGGGAGCTGCTTTCCAAGACCGGATCCTCAACCTCGTTGAGCCACACCGGCCAGTTCTCTGCCAAGGACCTCAAGCGACTATCCCTAAATTCCAACCACTCTCGGAGTTTTGGTAAGAATGATCCGCCACCTCCGCCGGTCCATCCGCCACGCAACTACCGCCTGTTCCCCGTGGGCGATTACCTCTACAGTTTCGAATTCCCGATCGATGGTTCTCTCCCAGAGACAATCAAGACCGACCTGGGATTCGTTCAATATGACCTTGAGGCGATAGTTGAAAGAGCCGGTGCGTTCCGGCCCAATTTGCTCGGTAGCCTAGAGGTTCCGGTGATCCGCACCCCGGCGGAGGGCTCGCTGGAGCAGGTCGAACCGATCGCAATTTCGCGCAACTGGGAAGATCAGCTGCACTACGACATTGTGATCTCCGGGAAATCCTTCCCTCTGGGATCGCAAGTCCCTATTGCTTTCAAGCTGACCCCTTTGGCCAAGGTCGAGTGCCATCGGATAAAGGTCTATGTGACGGAGAATATTCAACACTGGACTGCAGACAAAAGTGTGCATCGTTTTCAGCCGGCGAAGAAAGTTTTACTGTTTGAGAAACGAGCCGACTCTGCCAGCACCAGTACCTATCCTGGAAGCTCGATGCGAGTCACGGCAGGGGGTGGCATTGACTGGGACCAGCGCGCAGCCGCTGCTCGGGGTCAGGAGGTGGTGGATCGAAACCGAACCAATCTTCTTGGCAATCTGTCTAGCGACTCGGGAGTTGGTCCGACCGAGATGGAATTCAATGTCCAGTTGCCGAGTTGTCAAGAAATGCGCAACCGGGACGAGTCTCAACGACTACACTTTGATACCACATACGAGAACATTCAAATAAACCACTGGATCAAGGTAAGATATTTCCATGCTGATTGGCAATGTTCGCAATCTAATTTGAAATTCAGATTGTTTTACGCCTCTCCAAGGTCGATGAGAGAGACCCCGGCAAGCGAAGACACTTCGAGATCTCTATCGATTCTCCGTTCCACCTGCTATCCTGCAAGGCCACGCAGGCCAACATCTACCTCCCGGCGTACACCTCGCCGGAGTCGGAGCCAACCCCACAGGCACAGGAGTACGAGTGCGGTTGTCCTGGCGCACCCCTGATCAACCGGGCGGGCTCCAGCCGACAATCGCTTTCCTCCTCCGACCGAGATGAGCGACCCAACGGAGGCGCTGTCACGAGAAGCTTCACCAACAGCTCCGGTGGCTTAACCCGGCCACCACAGGCGCATCTGGCTGATGAACCGGTCGACCGCCCACCGCGACCGATGCATCTCCTTCGCGCACCGTCATTTGCACCTCCTGCCTTCGAAGAGCTCGAGCCACCGCCGCCTCTCGTTACTCCTCCCCCGGAGTACAATACCATCGTTGGAGACAATGATCGAGAGGCCGTGCTGCAGGATTACTTCTCGCGGTTGTCATTCTATGAGGAGCACGCCGATGACGATCGGGGCCTTGGGCGTGTCGATGTACCTCTGACTCCGGGAGGCCGTGTGAATCGCAGCATGGACGTTCCACGCGAGTGGGTGCGCCTGGAATAGAACGTCACCTCCTAGCCCATGGCAGGCTGGGTCTTGATGTCCCGATGACACTGGAATAGACCTCACGACGTTTATGCTTTTTCTTTTTTTTTTCGTCTATCTTATCGAGCTTACAGGAAAGGATCGGAGTTGACGAGTCACTGAAAGATACCCTCTGCACATATGGAGGCATGTAAAGGTGACTTCCATGATGAATATGTGTCAAGCTTACCTTTTGAGTTTCTGGGAAGGGGCGCAGATGGACTGGATATATGGTCGGCGCCTGTACTACCGGATTGCATTACCTCGAGCGATCATTCCTTTTTTTTTTCTTCTCATTTCTCAATCTTTTGACCATATAAACACTTTTATCGGCATGATTACATTTGTTTTTAGATACCACCCTTCAGAACTTTGATCTGAAAGAACACAAGATGCGATGTCTTAATGTCGTCGCAACGCACCACAGATGTGTCCATGGGTTTGTACATAGTAGACTAAAAACGTGGACCCACCGACCTACAGATGGGGATCCCTTACATAGGACTACTGGTAGTGCTGTTAAGGGCTTGCAGATGCGTAGATGAATTAGCTTCGATATAGGCAGCAAGGCAATAGGCGTGACAGGTGATAAGGTGGAGGAGGGACTTTTGACACTCATTAATCTCTTGGAAGTCGGATGGAGCTGCCTTTTTTGGGTCGAGCTGTGGCGCTCCATTCCGCCGCCGCCAATTGTTCTGGCCTTTTTTTTTCATCGGCCTCTGCCGTCATTCTGCCTTCCCCATACATCCATCTATCTATCCCGTCTATC